TCTGATGCAGATTTAAACATACTCTGCACAATGGCTGTAGGGTAGCTTACTAGCCATTCAAAAGATGCAAAGGCCTTATCTATTCTCTCCTCCACAAAACCCTCTCCCTCCCTATTATTCCCCCAAGTATAAGCATGACCAATCATATCCACCTCCTTCATTCCCATCCCCTCTACAAACCCTCTGAACCCTAACATACTAGCCTCAGATCTCAATCTCCCCCCTTTCTTCTCTTCTTGCCAACATATATCATTCCAGTCTCCCACTAGTAACCACTTCCTGCCCCAATCATTTTTCTCCTCTGTCAACTGATTCCATTGCATAGTTCTCACCCTCTTATCAGTGTTCATATAGACAAGCGTGCACCACTCCCACATAGCCTCCCCCTCCATCCTAAATTCTACCCCAATACTGAAATCAGAACACCTCACCTGCTTTATCTCCACCTCCAAATTCCACATTAACAGCAATCCACCACTTATCCCCACTGGCTCCACCAATTTCCATCTATCTTCCATCCCCAACTTCCTACAGACCGTCTTAGTAAATGCCCTATATTTTTTTGTTTCTGACAAAAATATAAAACAGGGGTGGTGGAGTTTAATTACCTCCTTGATTTGGGAAATTCAATAAATATCCACAACAAACACAAGATGAAAGCATGATAGAATATAGATAATCATAATTGTTCAAGTCACAAGTCTTCAAGACTTCAAGTTCCCAATTCCAACTTCCCACATGGCCACAACCACAAGCACACAAATGACAAAACTAAAAAGTTCTTACCAAATACAAATTATTCATAAAGCAAAGCACTAAAGCAGTGAAATAAAGTGTTCAAACTTTAATCTTCAAACACCAGTGACACCAGACTGTTTCTTAGATGATTTTCCAACATCTACTCCTTTGTTGGCCTTTGAAGTTTTGCTTTCCTTATCTTTTTTTTCTTCCAGTTTTTTCCTTAGTTCTCTTTCTTCTTGGTCCAACTCTGTGTGAAGTGGAAAACAATAGAACAAAATAAAAAACATTAAGAATATAGTATGAAATATGAATGAGTTAAGATTTTAAGTCATATCACATTCAATTATTCATAAAACTCACCTTGTTCTGTTTTCTCAAACCATTCCATTTCCTCAGGAGTAGGGGTGTATGCAAGGCTGGTAATTGCATCTGACTTCAACCATTGTTGTAGGCAAATCAATGCTTCAACTGACCTTGGAGTTAATGAACTCCTATGAGGATCAATTACCCTCTTTCCAGTACTAAAAGAAGCCTCAGATGCCACAGTGCTGACTTGGATTGCCAAAACATCCTTGGCAAGAGCTTGCAAGTTAGGATACTTGGATCCATTTAACTTCCACCAATTCAAAATATCCCAATTACCCTTAGGTTTCTCTATAGGATCAAGCAAGTATCTATCCACTTCATGAGCAATTACAATTGCATTTCCATCTTCAAGATCTTTTTGCCAATCCTCCATCATCATTGCCCTTCTCCCTGTCACCTTCATGGATGGGCACCTAAGTGGCAAATGAAAGCAAAACAAAAAAAAAAACAATATATTAACATATGCACTGTGCACACAAAATAAATAAGTCATACACTTTCAGAACAAAAAATTAAACTAAAAAGTTACCTGCTGCTAGCTTCTTTCTGTTCAGCTTCAGAATCTCCCAAGATTTTCTTTGTGTTACTACTTTGACCACCATTCATTGATGCATATAAATCAGTGAGTGTGACAATCAAATCTTTGAGCTCTTCAGTTTTTCTCTTCACATAATCACTATCATGTAGCAACATTGTTTGAAGAACCCTTGAGAAATACCTCAGCTTATATCTAGGGTCCAACACCAAAGCCACAAGAAGAAGTTTGTTCACATCATCTATGGTATCAAAGTACTTCTTATACTTCCTCCTCATTTGCACAGACATATTAAACAAAGTCTTCTCATAATCAGTGCTTTGAGTTGTCACTGGTGCATCAAACAGATCATCAATTTCACACTTGATTGTCACAATCTCACTAAATGCTTTATGTGCAGTTGGTGTGTTTGTACAACTAACATTAAGAGTGACATCAAAGAATACTCTCAAGAACTTAATAAAAGCCTTAGCCCTATGCCAGTCTTCCTCAGTTGGTGGCCCAACTCTCTTTTTCCCTTTGTTTTTTCTTTTCCTTTTCTCACCCTCTGCCCCCTCAGTTCCAAATACCAACTGATTCAAATCAGTCACATGACTGACATCATCCTCATCATCTTCTTCATCTTCATCTTCATCAAAGTACCCCTTATATTTAGTGTCCTCCTCTGCTAGCCTATCAAATGCCAACTTCAACTCATAAGCTGTTTCCAGCATTATGAAGGTAGAATTCCACCTTGTTGGCACATCTAAGACACAAACCTTTTTGCTATCCAACTCTTCTTTTTTCACACATTCTTTAAATTCTTGAAGTCTAGCAGGTGAACTTCTAACATACTTTACTGCATTCCTAATAGAAGCCACTGAATTATCCATACAATTCAATCCAGATTTAACAATCAGATTCAACACATGAGCCAAACATCTTACATGGAGATATTTCCCCCCTAAAACAAGTTGTTTATCACCATTATTAAGCTTTCTTTTCATATAATCCATTGCAACCTTGTTGGCAGATGCATTATCAACTGAAATGGTTAAAACTTTTCTAATTGACCACTCTTGCAAGCAATTTTCAAGAAGCTTTCCTATTGTTATCCCTTGATGATTTGGAATGACACAGAAATTAAGAATCCTCTTATGCATAGTCCAATTAGCATCAATGAAATGGGTTGTTAGCACCATGTAATTGATGTTTTGGATTGAAGTCCATGTGTCAGTTGTCAAACTAACACAATGATTCTTAAGTTCAGTTTTTAAAGCTTCTTTCTTAGCCTTGTACATGGTTAAGAAAGACTTAACCACAACTTTCCTACAAGGAATTTGCCACTTAGGAACAGCTACAGCACAAAATCTTCTAAAACCACTCTTTTCAATTGCAGAAAATGGCATTTCATCAATCACAATCATTTCAACAGCAACATTAGTGCAATTTTCTTGTGTCCAATGTGTAACAACAACATCTTTACCCTCTAAATCCACAGCAAAATGTTTCTGACCCTCTCCTAAGTTTCTAGCACTACCAGGATAACTATCACAATGCAATTCAAGGTGTTTTTGGAGAGTACTAGTTCCATTCCTAGTCGAGTTGCAAGCTAGATCAGATTCGCAATACTTACATTCAGCTCGGGTAGTTTTTCCAACTTCCACCTTCACACCATCTTCATTTGCAACCATCAGTGGCTTTTGGACGATTTGGACACACCCACGACCTCCTCTTCTTTCCTTCTGAAGCTTCCCGTAATCTTCTTTTCTTCTGTGGCTGTGGGTTCTTCGAATTAGGGTTCTGTAACTTCTGTTTCTTCCCTTTTGAGGTACCAACATCTTTAGACGGGTTTGAGCTTTGACTGTGGCTACTCTTTTCGGATTTTGAAGCCATGAGCAATTGAGAATCCAAGGAATGAAGGAAGAGGGTTTTTTAGGGTTCAAAACTTCAAAATTTGAAGCTCAAAATCAAAACAGAAATCGATTTAGGGTTTTAAATTTCAAATGGAAAAGGGATTTATGATGGATTTTAAGATTAATTTAGGGTTTGGACATCGAAATAGAATCAAAATTGATGCAATCTCAACTCTGTTCTTCGATTAATTGATTTTGGATTTGGAGATTTGCAATTTGGGGCTCGGGAACGGCGGGAAGAAGAAGAAGAATAGAAATGGACCAAATGGTTCGATTTTTTTGAGAGGTTAGTTTTAATGTTTTATTAGAAAAGATATGGTTAATATATGACTATATGTACACAACCGGTTCCGCGGTTTTTTTACTTTATGTGAATTAAAAACCGAAAACCGGAACCGAAAAATGAAGCTAATTAACCGAACCGGAAATAACCTGCTTTTTACATGAATAACCGGACCGAACCGGTTTATTTCGGTTCGGTCCGGACCGGTTTTCCGGTTACCGGTTCGAAAATCCCAGCCCTAGTAGAGAGTAGAAAATGAAGACAAATCAAAATATGAGAAGATATGCTTGTATTTGAAACTTATGATGGCACCAATAAATGACCAACATGGCATGTTGACTAAAAAAAGTCAAGTTGATCAACTCCCACACGGTCATCTGATGTGGAAGGAGTGTTTTTATTTGTTCTCATTGTCATGTATTTTATTTATCTCAACACAAATTCTGCCATTAGATGGAGTCTCACACACTTTTGTTCTTAATAAAAATACATAATTATATTATGAAATATTGAATTTTTATTCTCATTGTCATGAAATATGACATTTAATTATATTCCCTCTGTTTCTTTTAGATGTATGTCAACTTTTTGCAAATTAATTGTCGTTGAAAATATTATATTCATTCTTACAACTTTATCCTCTTTAACAAACTTTATCTCTTATCATTATCTTTAAAAATCACCCATTAATAATTCAAAATGTAAATTTAATAAGATTAAAATATAAAATTTTTACACAACCCATTAAAATCGTAATTTAGAAGTTTTAAATTAAAACGAAATATAAAATAAAACAAAGGGAGTAAAAGACTACATTAATATTTTCATAAATGGATGTCTAACAATTACACATTGGCCCTAGTTTCGTGCCTTTTGAGGTATTCTTTTATACAACAAATAATTGTATAAATGAATGTCTAGCCATTAGATACGTTGGCCCTAGTTTCATGCCTTTTGGGATCTTCCTTATTACAACGGATAATTGTGGAATCACTAATCAGTTCCTAGTTTCATGCCTTTTGTGATCATTATTACAGCAGATAATTGTGTAATCAGTGCCTCTTTAGGACGTATATAACATCAATCCATTTTTCTCGCTAAAAATTAATTTGACTGTAGATATATCCATCCCGTGCAAAATTATATTCTGTATGAATAGCAAAATTACAGCAGAACTGCAGAAGTAGAAAAATAAAGTTGGACGAAGAAAATATGAGAACATTGGAACAATTCGATAATAAAAACAACAAACCCAATTTACTGTATTTCATTAAAAAGACGTTCAGATACAACTATGCAAAGCAATATGGCAAGTAAAAATTCAACAGGTTTTCGTAAACTAAGTAAAATTTACTAAAACTGTTCCCAATCCAATTTCCTGGGCAGACGACCAAAAGCCTAATCTATTCCCTCTTTTATTTGGTAAAAAATCAGTTCTTTTTACATTCATAAGGTTGGGATATAATGTACTAAAGTTATCGACAAGCATAGTGCTAGATAGCTCTGTTAAAACCATGATTCTGTCTTTCAAAATAAAAAACACTATGGACTTACTGCATTGAGCTCAAATTACTTAATGCATTAAGCACGAAGCAATAACCCAATCACCAGACTAATCAGTGCCACCATGCACACGAAAAGTGGTGGAAAACCGGCTCTGACTTTTCTTACAACGGTCCTTTTCCTTGATGTAGCCTGCATAGAAGAAACCAAATTTTCTCAATTTGACTTATTTTTTATTGCAATCACCATTACTATGCTTAAACCACATCAATAACGAGGAGAAATAGCATTATGATTTCGAAGATCCATTTGTTGTTTAACATTATTGTGCTTCAACTTATGAACACTCTAATTCACAAACATCTGTTTAGGGTTTTATCATTTAAAAAGAAGGTATTTACAATCTTGAAAGATTGGTTTCTTTTCATTTTTTTCTTCTTCTTTTTTTTTCTTTTTTTGTTAATATGACTAAAGCTCAGGGGTAACTTTTGCAAGTAACCCGAAAAGAAATTAGAGTAGCATGTTTGTTCACCCACCAATTCCTGCTTTAACAATTCCTTCTCACGGATGGTGTTGCTCTTTTCCTCTTTCAACTTCTCAATCATGTACTTTGCCTGCAAAAAAGAATTCTCATCAAGTTGAAATTAATCATTCCAGCATCAATTACACTACATCATGGAACTAAGTCAAAATTGATATCAGTTGTACAAGCACAGCATTCTTTCATTATACTATTCCTACATCAATCTCTGTAGTTCGTACTGCAAGAATTACATACAAACATCTGAGGTTAATGAATAGTTCTAAATATTCCAAAACAAAACTATGTGCAACTTCAAAGCACATTCACATCTGAGAGATTCTGATGACATAATACAGCACTGACCTCAACTTAGCTCTGATGATATAATACAGTACTGACCTTAACTAGCTCAGAATCCATGGTGCTGATCTTTGATTTCAATTCCTCAATATCTTTCATAAGCTTTAAATTTGTCTCGTCTAAATCTTTCACCGGCTTCACCTCATCCTTGACTAGGTAAAACTCCTCATCCTTGGGAGGAGCTGCCTTCATATCATCCTTAACTGATCTGAACTCTTCCACGTTTTTAACACTTGTGATTGACTCCAGTTTCTCAGTCACCTGGCAAGTGAGAGAAATTTTTACTTATAATAAGTTCTGTATGTAGAGTTTTCCATTAAAAAGGAAAAGCAATAGCCTTCACGCAGAAAGAGAAATCTTAGAATAGAGAGTCCAGAGTGTACAGATATTTACTTCTTTTTTCAGGAATTAATTCGTGATGTTCTCCAATAACTCCCATTTCATTACACTTTCCAATGAAACGGTAGTTAGAAGAATAACACATAAGTTGTGTGATCAACAAGGTAAATAGCATGGACTCTAATCAAATTTTATAAGGAATTAGTCGCCTAAATGTGTCATTTATCAACTAAGGTTACAATGTAAGTGATGCTGAAATTTCTCACCGTGTCATCAGGAGGGAAATTTTCAACTCCATTCTGCAATTTATCTTTCGGGATGATAGTCTCATAGGATGGATCTTGCTTAGTAGCTCCATTAACAGGCAGCAAAACAGGTTCATTGACTTCTTTTGGACTAGAAGACTTGAAAGAAGATTCTTGATTCAAAATTACATTAGCCAGTGGCTTTTCTGGGTAATCGGGTGCAATACTAAGACTAACTCTGAGCTTGACCTCTTCAATATATTTTTCACTCTCTTTTACGAACTGCAGAAGAAAAAAGAAGAATCCTTAATGAATTTGCGCTAGTCTCAACAAACCGGTCAGCATGCAAGGTAATGAGATTTGACATCTAAATAATCCAACTTACTAAAGCTGATATCCTACCATGCTAGGTACAATGTCATCTTCTGTTGTTCCAAATGGTACCACAGTGCTCTGAATCAAGAATTTATCTTTGCATTGCATCTCAGGGGGAGCCGATTTCTGTGCTTGCATGGTAACTGCACAAGATTGGCAAGTCAGGAAATATTTAAAAATAAACAAGTCCACTCATGACTGCTCGATAACTGGTCAACAAAGAAGTGAGACTTCGGTCAAATATCTACTACTGTGCTTTTATTCATTGTTGAAATTTTATATTATCGAATCCAGATCGGCAACTAAAGGGATGCAACACACAATTACAAAGAAAAACACAATTTTTACCCAACATCTCCTTGTTCTGACCAAAATTTAATTCTTCATGTAAGGAGAAGTAAATTACTTTTAGCAAGAAAAGACTGAGATGAAACACAATGGAAAAACAGGTCTGTAGACGCAAGCAAACTTAAATACCTGTGAAATCACATGTTGATTTTGGCTTGATTATACCAACATTAGGTCTCACACAGTACTTCTTTGGAGATGTAGTCTTAACCTGCCGTAGTGATCATATATTCATTTCAATAATTTGTCCAAAAATAAGATACATAATTAAAAGTGTTCAACTAACCATGCTTATTTTAGAAGCAGACAGTAATCTTTAGTAATATAACAAAGGGCATCAGATAGAGCGACCACAAACCTTGAAAGCTACATATTGGTCCGTGACATTGGCAAGGTGCACTGCACATGAACTCTGTTTCTTCACTTCAACTAAAGAACCCAATTGGATAGTCAGAATAGACAAAGGAACAAACAGGATATCAAAATGATATAAAGAGCTGGTTAAACCTATAATAAACACGTTGCTGGTTCGCAGACAATATGAAAAAGAAATAGAAAATAGTATAGCATGTATACTAAAGATAATAAATAATATTGAATCCTGTTCTAAGAGGGAACCATAAAGTCACAGACACGTAGTGTAGCCTGCATGCTAATAATAATAATAATAATAATAATAATAATAATAATAATAATAATAATAAAACAAAATAAAATAAAAAATCTAGCTGCAACATGTGAATTTATGGTATCATTTAAGAGTGTTTCAAAAATTAATTCTGCCCACTATCTCAACTTCCAAACTTTCACCATTTTAGTTTATATCTTGAGATCACTACATTAAAATGACATTGTAATTAAGCTAAAGAAATAAAAATGTGATGCTTCAAGTGATTGTACAAAATTTTGAATATAATGATGTACCCTTTCACATAAGGCTTTTCATCCTCTGCTAACATAAAGTAACTCGTAGCAAAATATTGCAATTCTCCTTCACATTAAATAAGCAAAAATTGTCTAGGAAGCCACCTAGGTTGTAGGCACTCTAAGCTGAGGCTATTACGTCTACATCACAGGAAAAATAGCCACAAAAAGAATCACCTGTACAGGCAGCCAAAATATCGGTGCTAGCCACATATATTTAGAAATACAGTTTACCTATTTTTTCTCTAATACTGCACCTAAATGAGAGCCTAGCAAAATTTTCAAACCCATTAATTAGACGAAAAATAATGTAATGCATCACAATAGTAAAGGTTTATGTTTGAATTTCAATAATGATGCAATAAGATACGTACAATAATAAAACTAACGAATGACAGAAGTGGAAAGATTAGGCATCACTCATCATAATTACCAAGGCAGCAAATTTCACTAATTACACTTACATAAGAACTTAAGTTCGCGAGGTTGAATCTCCACTATTTGAGTATACATATTGCTGGCGACCTGAAATTTTAACCACAAGAAGTCAACTGATTTCTGCAATGCACATCACTCTTACATTCTATAAAGATACCAAACTGGAACACCATAATAATAAATCTTCTTCCTTTTCCTTCCTTTTCCCTAATCACCTACATAACTTGGATGGAACTCAATTGGAAATTTCCTCATCGAAATAACTCATACTTTCATAAAACCAGAAAAGAAAAACAATTAAAACAATGGAGCGATGTGTCAACAATTGAAAGGGGCATTTGGTCAACATAAACCCAAGGTAGAAAGTTATGAATACACACTAATGATCACATTATAAATTGAAAAAAGAGAAGTCATGAATTCCAAATCGCCACTTAATACAGAACCATCCTCCGTAAGCACGATCTGCTAAAGGAAACTACAGTGCATCCCGCCGCCGGTTGCTCCCTCCGTACAAGCACCGACACGACTCAACGATCACAAAATCCACTCAGATTCAGAACACCGAATTTATCAAATTACAACAGTTCAATCACGACGCACAACACGCTGCAACAGCATCACCGATAACATTTTCCAGAAACCGTTTGCTTCAGACACACGCACACACAGAGAGATGACGGCACAGACAGAATCTAAGACGAAGAAACTTACCGGAAACAAGATGCTCGGCGAGAAGCAGAGTTGAATCTTCACAGCAGGACGATCCAAATTTTGAATTACAAAAGAAAAAAAAAATAGAAAACTTGAGAGATAGTGAGAAAGGTTGATCGACGGACTTGGGGTGGATGGAGTCTCGATTTTATGAAAGGGGTCAAAAGGCTCATTTAGTATGAGAGAGAAAAAATAAGAGTAAAAAATAAGCGATAAAGTTGGGATTTTTGGTGAATTGATTTGGTGCGGTAGAGAACACTGAGGGGCCCAACGGACATATATTGCTATTGGACCGTTCGAAAGAAGATATAAGCGTGCGGACGGTCCAAATCGTTGATTAATTATAGAGGTTGCCATTAGTGACTATAACGATAGTTATTGTTACATGATATTTATCCTAACATATCGGATCGGATCTTTATAAAAACTAGTACGTATCCGGGACAGAAATATTAAATAAATTATTTTCACACTCTTGTTTATTTAAATTCTAAAGAATAATAAGGTTATTATCTATTTTCTACATCTTTTAATTCACGTTAAGTCTAAAAAAGTTATTATAAATATTTTTCTACATCTTTTAACCAGCGTTGTTTTTTTAAGCAGAACATCAAATATGAACATTATTATAAGTATTTTTCTACATCTTTTAACCAGCGTTGTTTTTTTAAGCAGAACATCAAATATGAACATGTTAGAGCTAGCTTGTAAAATAATTAATATATTTCTCACTAAAATATTTATACTAATAAAAATTTAATTTTACCATATAAATTTATTCTTTGATATAAGAGAAAGTAACAGTTTTACTTATTGTTGTTCACTATATAATATTTAATTATTATTTTATTATATAATAAAAAGAAATACTGTTAAATAGTGTAGTAGAATTGTTATAAAATTATATGAATTATAATAATATGAGATACGGATTTACATAATACTATGGATTTATTCCTTAATTAAGATATTGAATTAGGTAATATATGATTCACTAATTTGTAATTTGTCTCTTTTTAAATTGAAAATAATCATGTGTTGAGTAGAGATAACAATTATTTATAAATTCTTTCATTTAAGGAATAATTTTTAAATTGGTTCAAGTGTTGAACGCAGCCCGATTTCTTGTAACTAAAATGAGAAGAGATTTTGAATTTTAAATTTTTACTTCAAAATATAAGTAAATTTTGATGCAGATTTTATTAAAAATAAAATGAGAAGAGATTTTGAATTTCATATTCACTTCAATATCTATCGAAATTTTCAAAAATGAATTCAACAAAACCCATAATTTTAGGGACATTTAATGCTACCCTATTTTATGATTTAAAATATCTAAAACTTTCTAAATATGGTGTGCAATTAATTATGAATTGACTTTTCTTCCTACTATTTATAATAAATGGGATGACTTTTTATATAAGTATAGACACTATTAATATACTTCATCCATAAATGTAAATAATATATTATATTACATTTAAAACTATAAGTTATATATATATAGGAATATCACAATGTAACCAATTAGTTAGTCGAAAAAAAATAAATTATTATTATTATTATAATTATTTATGCAACTTTAAGAGTTTTGTTATGTAACTAAAACCAATTAGTTATCTACAAAATATTTAATGAGATAAAAATAAAAAATTAATATTTATTTTAAAATAAATATCTTGAACAAAAAAAATTACTATAATCTATATATATATAATTGTTAGCTTAGCAATAAATTTTACCTAATAAATAAAACCTAATAAATTTTACCTATGTGGCAAATCATTAAATAAAACCTAATAAATAGAACCTAATAAATTTTATTTATGTGGCATTAATGCACCCAATCTCATTAATAATAAAATATTTAATTACACTTTTTTGGGTAAATTAAGACAAAAACCACTATACTTTATGTCAATTGAGTAATAATTATATTTTTTGTTGAATCATATAATAGTTAATATTAAAATTAGTAAATATATTTTATACTAAATAATATATGAAAGTTACATAAAATTATATTTTACAATAAAATCAATATTTTTTAATATGATGAAGTGATTGTTTATTAATAAATTAATTTTTTATGCCATAGTAAAATTTCTTAAATCACATAAGCAATTGTTATAATAATGTAATATTTTTCAGTTAATTAATTGGTCATGATAATTCAAAATTATAAAATGTATATATTTATTACATTTTATGCAATCAATATAGGGATTCATATGCAATCAAATCATATGTACTATTTATTTTAACCAATAATTAAATTTTAAAATATAATATTATTATCTAATGTATAATTTTAATATTATATACATAAATATAACTTATAATACTATATGTTTGAAATATAATAATATTATTTAACTTATAATTTTTATATTATATGCATACAAATAACTTATAATATTTAATTTTATTTACATATGTGCAAATGCACATGATCAAATACTAGTTTTTTATAAAAGTGTGTAGTGTTCATAAATCTTTTAATGCGAATTACAATTAGTTAATACTACTAGTAACTATTTTATGATATAATAGTTACAAAAATTATTTATTACATTTGATTAATACAACATGTAGCAGTTAGTTTCTAGGAGGTGGATCCAATAAGTCCACTCTTTAAAATGAGTACGTGAAACTCAATCATAACCGTTGCTTTTATTTAGATCAATATCTCATATTAGTCAGTTAGAATGCATATTAATTAAGAAATAAAAATATTAATTATTATATTTAAATTAATTAAATAATAAATATATTAATAAAATAAACTGGACTGGTCGACAGTCGTTGACCCGCGACCGTGGCTGAGAGCCCCTGGAAACGCTGGGACCGCACTGTAGCCGTCGGAGACGCTAGATCCCCAAATTGTCGTCGCCGGAACCCCCACCTGTAGCCGTGGGAACTGCTGGTTTTTTGCTTTCCCGATTTCGGCCAGCTCTCGACCCCATCGCCCCCTCCGCCACCAGGCAGGTGTGGTGGCAGGATCCTACTGCCCAAGGCCGGCGAGGCCTCCCTGTGGCCACCGTGTCTCACTTGTCGCCTGGAATTTGTCCGTCATCGCCTCTTCATGCTGTCGAAGTCGCGATGCAGACCTGGGCGCTTCAGATTGTGACGCGAAGAAAATGGCGCGGTCTAAGAAGATGAGAGTGAGGGACCAGCATCGATGGCGGTCCGACCAGATAGCAGCGACTGCGAGGAGGCGGAGGTGGCGGCTACTAGAAGCTAATTTTTTAGAATTGAAGAGAAAAGTCTGAGGAGTGTGTGGCGACAGTTGTGGGGTTGATAGAGAAGTTTTCGCGACTAGAAGTGCAGGGTGATGGACTGTAGCTCCCCGTTCATTTATGGAATAGTTAAGATTTTATTTAATATTATTGTCATTATTATTATTATTATTATTATTATTATTATTATTGTTATTATTATTTTATTTAAATGCCTAATTGTCTATTATATGCTAAAATGTGTATTAGTAATTATTTAATAATGTGTGAAATATATTTTATTATAACAGTCCAATATTATTTTGTTTTATCGTGCGATCCGAGCCATTTTATTTTGGCTAAACGAACCGAGTTTAATATGGTTATGTCGAGCCCGATGAAAACCGAGAACCTGCACGCCTAGCCGCATCAATCCATTTAAATCCAAACCGTGAAATTATTCAATTGACCAATTGGGTTCCAATTTCGGTCCATTCAGATAGATTACCTGGTCCAGTCCGATTGTTAAATTCGGCCCGTTTGTGTTTGAGAAGAACCAGTCCAAATGGCTTGCAAATTTGACCTGTTAATTAGGGCCCTAATTTTATTAACTTAGCCCTAAGCCTATTATACTCGTATATCATCCCTCATCTCTCTCAGTACATGCCCCGCAGTCCCTCAATCAGATTTCTTTTGTTTTCTCTTCGATCGATCTCTCACCTACATCATTGAACCTCTTTTTTGTTTTCTGTTTTGCATCTCATCACCATCGTCGTCCTCCCATCATCATCGTCCTCTCGTCGTAGCCCTGCTCGTGAGTCGCGATCACCATCCTCGCCTCCTCTCGTTGGAAAACCCTATCGCCGCCCCTGTCCGCGAGAACGCGGCGCGTCTGCAACTCCTTCCTCCGTGATACCAGTGTCTCCGGCGAGCTCTCCCCTTCACGAACCAGTCCGGCGAGCTCCTCCTCTGCCGCGACCAGCAATAATCCGGCGAGCTCTCCCCTTCGCGAACCAACTCCGGCGACCCCTGTTTCGCGTTTTTCCGGCGAGTTCGAGCAGTCCACGAGCCCAGAAGACGAGAACTCCCTCTGACGGTGAACCTTCCGACGACCAGCAACCTCCTGAGCGTTGTTCGAGATTTTCCCGGCGTCCCTCCATTCGAACAGCACCTCGTCGAGCGGCCCTTCACGTCGGAGCATCTCAGCGGCAACCTTGGATGTCCGAGCAGCACCTCTGTCCACGAAGCCGAGCCGCTGACCTCCTCTGCGAGTCGAGCAAAGCCGCCGAGCTTCAACCCGCGAGTCCTCCTCGTCCTTTCGTATCGTTTTTCTGAGTTTTTCCCGAGAACGGTACCTAGTCGATTTCGTCTCGTTTAAATCATTTATGTTAATTGCGTATTATGTTGATTTTGGAGATGTGATTATAATTGCGATATATGTGTTCGATACGAAATTATGTGAAATTGTGATTTTATGTGTGTCGTTCATGTGTTCGGGACTTCTTCTATTTTTAAAGAATCGAGCGAGACCCCGAAAGTCGTGTAACTCAGTGGATATTGGACCGATGTCGAGTCCTTGGCCTTATGGGAAGGCCTCGGACGAGAAATTTCATGTTATGAATTAATTTCTAAGTTGTCGAGCATATATGTTGCTGCTTTGGTGTTTGAATTTTTAAAAATCTCACAATGTTTGAAATGACTTGAAATTTTGAGGGATATGTTATCTGTTCATTGCCAGCCTCGTGTGAAAATTTCATAATTTTTAGAGGCCTGTAGCTATTTTTGATAAATAGAGTGAATTCTGATCAGAAGAGTGTTTAATGCTTAATAAATTGGTTTGTGTTTCAAATGAGCTGAAATTTTAACATGTTGTGCCTCTAATGTGTATATGTGTTGTGTTAAGTTTTTAGAATTTTTGGACTGAATTTGATATGGTTAGTGATTTGTTTTCTGTTTCTTTTGAAAGTTGTATGAATTATTAAAAATCGGTTCTTTATTGAAAAATTCGGAAACTTGACTGAAATACTTATTTTTTTATGTGTATTCATGCTGTTAGAAGATGGGAATTTTTGGAGTCCAATTTAA